TGGGGATAAAGCCTCCGGACAGCAAGGACCGCCTGTAGCGCACACGTGACAGGCGTTTCAAGTTCCTCCCTCTTGCATTTGGCAGCCCATATGAGCAGCTCACATTGGAGTTCAGGAATTGAAACCAGGCTTGAAAAGAGCTGCAAAAACTCTTCAGTGCCGAGACCTGCCCCGCTTTCCAAGATCTTTGCAGGCAGAAGCGACGAAAGTAATTGCAACGTACGCCAGTTCATTTTAAATCTCCTATCTGTGTGATCAGGTAATCCGCGAGAGGAAGAAACACGGAACGCTTAAAATGCTCTTCCATGCTTCCAGCGGGAATGTTAAAGCGGTGACGTTGCCGACTTGTTACTCGCGGTATCTAAATTTCAGCTTCCGCTGTCTCGGCCATTTTAATGGCGACTTTGAATTTTGCCAAGTGTTTGTGCATGAACGCTTGCTCTAATTTTTCATTTTTTTTGTGTGTTGCTGGTTAATTTTTAATGTCAGTATAGCTATCCTTTTGTTTTGTGTGGCCGGCACGCGTTGGTAATGCAGCGCTGCTTCAAAAAGCGGGGGGAGTTGTGTGCTCTAAGGAAGCTTTTAAAGTTGGTGGGCCGCAACTATACTTCGTTTCAGCTTCCGTCCGAACGCAGCCGAAGCTACGTGTGGCCGGAGCCAATCACACGCCGGCAATAGGTCACGCAATCTCGCCTGCACTTTTGTATCACTCCGCTGCGCCGCTGGTCGTCCGTGCCGCCCGCACTCGCCGAGTATTTCGTCTGATACGGGTGTATCAACTGTATCGCCTGCAGCGGTTTAAAAAGCGCCCTTTCACGTCCTGAAATTTAGTAACAGGGGATGTCAATACGTAGGCTGGCCGCTGGCGTTTGTATCCGAACTTTCCTCCTGTTCGACATTTCGGCATAGTTTCGAGATGTAAGTACAGATTGCAAGGTACCCGATGACCTGGCCGTTGATGTTTGCATGTATTGTCTGGACATGCCAGGGCTCGAGGCGCAGTCCTTTCCACCAGCTTCTCGGCGTTCAACGTGATAAGCAGGTGAAGGGGTGCCCTGATTTCGCCGCGTATCAATGAATTGTAGTGACTCGGGCGCTTTTCGTTTACAACGCATTCGCGGTACGACGCGATTGGAGACTCCTGCCGAATTTGAAGGCAGACATTCTTCACGAGCTCTCGCACCTGACTCGCAAGCGTGCTTTAGCAAAAGGACGTTTTGAAGCGACTCGGGGAGGACAGCAACGAAGCACATGATTTGGCCATTACGGGAACGAATTCACACAGAAAAACCGAACGCTGCAGCCGTGTTGCCAGCGGATGTACGTGTTTTCACCAAAGCACGTGCATTTACATATATTAATCAAAACATAAACTTCAGGTATCTAATTCCTTTAGTAGCGGATCATTCTCAGCAGTACACATCTGGAATATTGTGCAATGTTTAAGCACAAAACAGTTGCTTAAAAAAAATTACTTTTGTGGACTACGTTGTGGTGTGTAGCAATTCTCTTCTCGAAGTTGCGAACCGTCCCTCAGCCTTTGGCTGCACTCGGATGGAAGCTGAAACGAAGTATACGACAGCAGTAGAACAGTGAGCCACCACGCCCGTATTCCTGTAAAACCTGCTTCGTTTTGAAAGAATGACAATGCAGCTTTACCCGTTTTATCTTAACAGCGCCTCTCTAATCTTTGAGTGAGCGTCCGCACCGCCGAGTTCACACTGCTTCGTCATTTCAGGGGGGGGGGGGGGGGGGGGGGGGGGGGGGGCTAGTAATGCCGGTGAACCCCCCCCCCCCCCCCCCCCCCCGAAATAAAATGCTGGCTACGCCACTGATAGTGTTATGTCCGACGTAACAAAAATAAAATTAAGATGACGTCCGACGTAACATAAAAGTTCGCTGTGCCTAACGTTACGCACGGACGGACCGCTGAAACGCGTTAACCTAACCCTCCTCCCCTCTCTTTCTTGCTTGGAAACATTGAAAAGTGATTACATTTCTTCAATGGCCCGTTTTGTAGATGTAGTTTTAGCGACTGCGCCAAATTATTATTAGTTTTACCATTGCCTTTTAATAAGAGATAGAGTCCACGCACTTCGAAACAATCTTTTCCCCTTTACTGGCTCCAGAGGAGGAGATCGGACACTTTGAACCTTAATAAGTGCTGAGGTGGTCAACGGCCACATGAGTATTTTCAATATGTAGGCTATATAAGGCTCTGGAAGAGCTAACGCAATTGTGATTCTGGTGTTAAGTGCTTCATTGTGTTTATGTTCGTGTTCGCTTCGAATGTGTATTTGTGGGATGTGTGTGTAAAATAACCACAGCGAAACTGTTTCCAAATTCCAAAAAGACCTAAATATATTTTTAAAAAATGGAGTGTCTGTTTTTACGTTATTTTGTGGTTCCGTCAAAAAGAACTCAACAAAAGTTATGTTAAAGGAATGCTTAAAAATTTAATTGGCCAATTTTATCTAGGAATTAAAGAGGTTGTCAAAATAACCTCTGGGAAACCTCGAAAAAAAGCTTTTCTAAAAAGTTTCATTACGATTCCAAAAAAAAAAAATATGTCAACAAAAGTTCAAAAGAATTTAACTACAAACTTTTGTAAGGGGAAGATACCAAAAGGATTAGAATGTCAACGCGCACAGCGTCCTCAACTGAAACGCTTTCAACAGGAGGCCGCCACAGTGAAGCGCTTCACTTTCTAGAGGACTCAGAAGCGTCCACCGAAGAACTGCTCAACCACCAACTGGTACGCAAAGTGTTCGTGCGCTACAAAATCGCTCGTCCCTCAAGCGCATCTGTCGAGAGGGTCTTCAGCGTCACAGCAGATATCTTCACCAGGAAGAGGGGGAAGATGACCGACGAGAATTCCGAACGACAACTGCTATTGAAGCTCAACAGGGTGTGAATCACAAAACGAAGCAAAATGTGACCACTTTAGACATAGGTATGCATTTTTGATTTCGTAATAAAAAGTGAAAAAAAGTAACGTGAAAAGTAATAAATGAGTTTCTGGTAATTTTTCAATTATTTTGCGGTGCAGTAATTGATTACTGTAATGAGTTGCATTTTAAAATAAAGTGATTTTATTTGTAATCTGTAACTTTTTTAGTAACGTGTATAAAACTGCTATGGGCACACACGGACCTCTGAGACGAATTTTTATTATGTAACCAATTAAAGGGACGCTGAACCGTAAATCGAATTTCAGAAAACAACGCAGAGTCGGTAGGCGGGACGCTACAAATCCCAAAACGTCACTCATAGAGCGGTATCTTTAACGGATCGTCGTATTTTTATAAAAGAAGAGCGCGCTTGCACAAGGCTGAAAAGACGCGTTACCTTGCGATTCCCATTTCCTCCTCTTTTCTCTTTGACTCCGCGAAGGCGCGGAGAGGAAAACGAGCAAGGCCATTACTCCCCCTTCTCAACTCATCTGCGATAAAATGACGTCAACGTTCTGCCTCATTCGCTCCTTTATTTTCCAGAGATACGGCCATCCGCTCGAGATATGGCTATATCATGCTTCGTTGTTTATGGCGCCCTGTTGAACACTTCTGCAAGCTTATTTTGTGAAATCCGAATTTCGGTTCAGCATCCCTTTAAGCCTTTACGCGTTATCAGTCTGTACCCCCTGCATACCGGAAGCATGGTTATGCTAACATCCCCATGGACTAGAATCAGACAATTTTCCTCCGGTACAAACACTCTCTTTCTGGTACTAGTATTAGAACTAGGAAGAATACAGTAAGTTACTGGAGTTAGGCACGAGACATTGAAACATACTAAAGTATTCTAAGCCGTTTTAACGCAGGCATTTATTGTAATTCGTTTTATAAAAAACTTCACTTTCACCAGTGTATGTCGATTGAGTAGTGATATATGTACGGAAAACAAACAAACAGCTGATATTGTAGTGAGTGCGCAGGCGAGCTGGTGGAAATTAACCATTCTGATGTTACAGCCTGAGACTGAGGCAGGAAAAGAGGAAGTTTCAAAGTAGAAGAAAAAGGAACAGTCGAGGATACGTCTCTAGTATCCTCGACATCATTTGTAACACCATCAGGAGGACAGTTTTCGACCGTATGTGGTATGTCAAACGAAAGCATGTTTTGGACAGCATTAAGATGAAATCTCAGGAGGGAAGGGATGGAGAGTCACGGGTTTGTAGTTTTTTCGGTCGGATGTGTGGAGGTTCTGTTAATAGAGACGTATCCTCGACTGTTCCGTTTTCTTCTACTTTGAAACTTCCTCTTTTCCTGCCTCAGTCTCAGGCTAACATCAGAATGGTAAACAAACAGCTGTGTGTCCGAAATAGGAAAATAGAAACAGTCGAAATCACAAGACTACCCTATCGACGTTGTAAAAGTTATTTAGGGTAGACAATATAATTTGATGTCAGCCTTCTAAAATTTTTATTCACGAAAGCATTGACTCCACACTATGCAAAATAACTTATCATCTTTTGGAGCTCGCCTGGACTCAAGCACTGCCGTGACACTTCAACTTGGACTCAAGCACCGCCGGTGACACGTTGTTTTAATGCTGCACTTGGTCTCACCTTAGCATAGACTGTTGTTAGCCGCGCATGCTATTTGTGCGAGCTACAGTTACTTTGGATGAAGCCTCGGCGACTACACGAGGGCTCGTGCAGCGAGCGCTCCAGTCAGAGCTAGCCGCTTGCGCTTGCACAGCCTTCGCAGTTAGTCCATGCTAAGGTGAGACGAAGTAGTGTATTTTTTATCGTCACGTCATTGTTCAATTAAATGTGGTTGCTTGTTTGTCGAAACCGCTAGCTCCGTGTTATTTCCCCGGGTTGGGTATGCTGCAAGGCGAACTGATCAGAAGACTAATATTCAGCCACGTCACTCGCCGAGTTGCCCCCGTAGATTGTAGCGTTTTACTTTCCCAATGGCTATGTGGAATATCAGACACTCCAGGGTTCTTAGAGTTTCACTGTATATAGTTTGATGGTTCCCTTAAGTCACGATTTGTTAATAGTTCGTCTCTACGACAACACTAGGTATCTTTGCGCGACCATTCACTTTTCGCTTCACCACGATTTCGGTGTCACTAAAACAAGGCGCAGACAACAGCAACTTTTGAACAAAGCAGGTGACAACCTCAGCGGCCGGTAAACGCAACTTGAAGTGAGCGAACAGGGTGTAATAAATCGCTCCTGAGACAAACAGTGCGACCATGATACCGTGCTGCATGTGCTCGACCGACCACACTATGGAGCTGACCGACAAGAACACGAGAAAGACAAGCCACAACACCGGAAATATTGTGGGAACCCTAAAGGGTCTCGGCTCGTTCTTCATGGTCACTCGAAGCACGAAAAAGGACGAAACTATGAGTGCGTTAATAATGCAGAACACGAACATCATATTGGGGACCAGGGAATCGACGGAGCCGGTGAAAGCGTACACCAGAGCCAAAAAACAACGCAGCAACAGCGAAGTCAGCGGAACTGAAGATCTCACGTTGATGCAACCAAAGATGGCAGGCAGATGACCGTTCCTTGCCATCGCCAGCATGGCCCTAGCGCCGCTGAAGAATCCAGCTGTCATTGATCCGAAGGTGCTGATGGTCACGGCAAGGGCTATAAGAATGGCTCCTGCAGTGCCCCAGGTTGCAGTTGCGAAGGAGACAGCGATGGCTTCAGAATTGGCCACTGTGGCAGGTCCGAGAACCACAAAGTAGGCCACGTTTACCAGTAGGCTGAGAACTGTCACAACGGCAATTCCTCCAAACAAAGCCAGTGGTATGTTTCGTTGGGGGTTGGTCATTTCACCGGCGACGTTGTTGATACACTGCCTGCGATAAAACAACAACATATACACGTTTCCAAGTCCGGTTTCAGGGAGCCGTCATCTTGCTCAGTTAAATAGCGCTTGGGCGCGGCCATAATCCGATTACGCCGCCTTAGCAAGTCTTCATAATCGGAATCAGCGGCGTAGAGTTTCCATTTTCCCGGGGAGGGCAGGCTGAGAAGTTCTCCGGGGGGGGGGGGGGGGGGGGGGGGGGAGTTGCCTTGCGTTGTTTGTGCGCCAAACCTGGAGATTCAAGCTAACGAAAGCACGCTGGGATTCTGTTTACATGCCACTACTACAGAAGCTCGTTACATGGCACGTAAACAGCGTCACGGTAAGGGTCATGGCCCCGGCCCGGGGAGCCCCCCCCCCCCCCCCTCCCGGATCTATCTTACCAGGGGGGCACGAGCCCTATGCCCCCCCCCCCCCCCCTCCCCGAAGTCTACGCTTATGATCGGAATATGCCGCGTCCAAGCTCACCCCAACCGAGCAACATGGCGGCGCCCTCAAGCCGGACTTGCAAACGTGTATATATCGTGTGAGACACTTGTAATAGCCAGGTAGCATAGTTCCTTGGCTCAATGTGTAATTTTGTCTTGGAATTTATGCTCTTAAAAAGCCGGAAAAAGTCAAGGTAGAGCCAAACTTTGCATTATTTGTTCGGAGCATAGGTTTCTTGGCGCCAATTCACTAAAGAGGTGCCAAAGTTAGGCTTCATGGCTGGTAGTTTAACTGTCGTCTCACATTTTCGGGTCTAAATAGCCAAGCAAGTGCCGGACCTAAGTTTCACCTCTCGTTGTCAGGTTTTCATGTGGAAATTTTGGTCCTAAACTGCCGAACGCGTGCGAGATTTAGTCCTCAATGCTGGTTCTTCGCTGCATGCATGGCATATCTTTGGCTCAAGTCTGGCACTCTGGACATTATGCGGCGACCATAAGAAAATCTGTATAAAAAAGAGAGAAATAGTCTGGCACTAAGTACTGTCGAGACCGGTTATAACGAAGTCGGTTATAACGAAATAGCGGCTACATTGAAGCGATCACGATTTCCCATTCCCTTTTGCACTTCGTTAAACCGAAGCCGGTTATAAAGAAATAGCAGATATATCGAAGGGATTCCCGATTCCCGTTCACTTCGTTATAACCGGTCTCGAAATAACTCTTTGGAGAAAAAGCGTATTTGTCCCAAGTCACAGGCCCCTGGGATCGTCAAGCTTGCGCCAAGTTAGGAGTTTCTCCGGCGTGCTACTTACTGGGGCAACAAACCTACACGGATCGTGCTGATTTGACTCCGTTGAGAGGGAATCTAACGGGCCTAATGGCGGAGCAAGAAACACACGAAATTAACTGTAATTATAACGTAACCCTTGAGACTACGGTGCGATGAAACTTAAGAAACTGTGAAGTCGAGGAAAGAGACAACAATACGAGAGCGTCGCAATTTGAAAAAAAAAAAAGACAACAGTAGAGGTACGTATTAATTAAAAAAAAACAGTAGAGGAACACACAACAGGAACGGCTCCCGGTTATTTGTTAGGGACACGTTGGCGGTCACGTAATCCCTATTTGTTACGTGACTGCGCCCTGATCACGGTGTAAGAAAATACTCTTCAGGTGAGGACAGCGCACAGTGCCGATAAAGTTCGCTTTTCACTCTTTCTCTCTCTCACTACGGTTTCAAGCGGCGCCGGCAGATGACTCGTCGAACCGAGGGGCAAGGGGCACTGCCAAGACGGCTCGTGCCGCCTCATGCTCCAGACGCGCAGAGCTCCAGCGAGGTTGTCGCTCGTGCAGAAAGACCACGGCGTACCGGGGCACGGCCACTCGATTAGGACTCCCCTTGGGAGCGGCCTGTCGTATGCTCACTCCGCCGGTGAGAGCGATAGTTTTACTCTACCCCGCAGGCGCCAGCCGTGGCGCTCGTTATCGGTGAGAGATAGAGTTCCTTTCGGGGGAGCATATCGAGGAACTCTGTACTTCGTCTCACGTTAGTATGTACTTGTTAGCAGCGCATGCTAAAAGCGCGAGATAGTTGCTTCGAAGGAAGCCTCGGCGGCTGCATGAGCGCTCGTGCAGCGAGTGCTCCAGTCAAGGCAGTAAAGGCCAACCGCTCGCGCTAGCACAGCGTTCGCGGTTAGTCCATACTAAGGTAAGACGAAATATAGTGAGAGAGAAGCAGTACGCCCGGCCCGGCCCGGTGTGGCTATTTAGATTTTTTTTTCGTGAAGCCGCAAGTCTCAATTGAAGCGAGTGCCCGATTGCATAAATGATGTGACAAATCTGTGTAGAATAAAAGCACATGATTCTTTCTGCGAAAAGCTCACTCAGCTGCAGGCTGCGCGTTAAAGCTGCATTCTGCTGGCAGTATGAGCGAATTGTCGTTTTCTTGTTCCCGTAACTGTTGCCCCGTTTCCATTACCACTGTAATATAGGAGTTATAGTTGGATATAGCTAGGCCGTATGATTTCTGGTTTCAACCGACGCTCGAGCACGCGCGAGCTGTGTCATTTATTCATCTGTGAAGGACAATATAAAATCGGATTCCGCGTGCATAACTTCAGCAATATAAACTTCATTGTTCACAAAAAAACAGAACAAGGGAGTCATATAGTTCACAAGCGGAGTACCTTTCGGGAAAGAGGCTTTCGCGAAAGCCTCAATATATTCTCTAGTGGGCTGTTTAGGTCACCAGCCCAGTTTGCCAAAAAAGGTCTGAGGAGTTTTCTGAGAAAGAACTCGCAAAGCTCTTCGCTGTGGTAGGGATCTCGGCAGATAACACACCACATAACCGGGCAGTCCATAAGGTGTGGAAGCACAGCGCTCGAGAGAACCTTGCAAATCCTTCCACAACCACGAATTTCTGCCGACTGCAGAGCCCTCTCGACAAAAGTGCAGACGAGCTTGCACAGACAGACAGCTTCAGGTCGTGGATAGCTGAGTCCTCCTTGGTCAAGGCTAAACATGGACTGATATGCTCCGTCATGTGATGCATTTCCCTTAAGTTGCGCTTGCATTCAGGACACGTCACCTGCAAAGTTTAGCGGGTTCTACACATTAGCCTTCTTTGCTTTCACTGAGAAATTCTTATTGCTTTGCTAGGTTGAATGTTTCAACTAATTGCTTTGAAATTACGACAATTTCTACAAATAAAAATGGTCACCTTTTGCTCGCAAACGAAGGCCAAGTAGCCAGCCATGTAAGTCAGCGGTGCGAACTCAAGTTCGGTAGAGACTTCATCGTACTTCATCAACTGCAGGATTTCCTGTTTCACGAGTGGAGTTGGCACAATTCATCGCCGTCTGGCACTCAGAACTAGAACGCGCATTTACATTTCCGGCAGCTTCCAAAATGCCAACACAAACCACACACGTGAGCGTAGAGTGACACTACGATATTTTCGCCGAGCACAGCGGTGCATAGGGGGGGGGGGGGGGGGGGGGGGAAAGCGAGTTTTGCTGCCTTCTGCAACCGCGGCAGCGCCTCGGTATCGGCGAAGCCAATGACAGGCAGATATTTATTTTATCTGGGTAGCGGAGCAAGAGCGCGTTGGGCGCCTTCTCTATACTCCGTTTCACCTTATGTTGTACCGCAGCGAAGGCTGGAAGCGCGAGCTCATAGCGTTGACAGCTGCCCTTACTGCACGAGAGCTTGTGCCGCCAAGATCTGCCCCAGAGCAAGGAGCTCGTGCTTACAGCCTTTCTTGCGGTACAACATAAGGTGAGAGTATAGCTTTCAGCTCACAAGACCGCTCACCGATGTGCAGCGCCCCCACGGAAAATGGGAGAAGTTCTCCTCTCACGCGCGCTCTTTTGTTTTCGAAAATACATCGGCAGGCTGCACCAACAGGGGGGATCGAGTGGCCGAGACCGGGGTGTCATGGCAACGAGATAATTTTTTTCGCTCTCACACGGTTTCGCCATTTGGCCGCCGGCGACACTGTCAGCCGCGGGCACGGTGGAAACTAATAATAATTGGGGTTGTGGGGATATTTACACAGCGTGTAGTTGGTCTGCCATTTAAGTTGCGACGAGTCACACGCTGTAGATGAGCAATTTAGCCAGTGCAGTACAACCGCTAGCCTGGGGTCTCTAACGTGCACCACGCAGTAGTGATACACGACCGCACGCCGGTACGATGCTCATCCAGATCGAAACGGGCAGGGGTGGGACGGTGGAAGCGGAATGATGCAGGCTTTTGGATGCCCGTCGAACGAACACTATCTGATTCCTCGCGCCGCGCGTTTAACCCCGCCGTGTCCTCACCTAAAGAGTGTATCTTACACCGTGGCCCAGATTACCTGCAAAAAAGGGCGTTCCTTTAGCAATTTGGAGACGGCCATCTTAGCGCGATGAACGTAGCGCTTCTGGCACTGCTCCGAAACCTGGCTGTTTCTAACGGTTTGATCTGCAAGCTTGACAAAATTGACGATAAAAATGTCAATTCAACTTCCGCAGGTTTCACCTGGGAGACGTAATCGCAGGCGGCCTTCGCTGCCGCTGAAGCTCATTCAATTCAACAAAGTATATTAAACAATGCTCGAGACGTGCTCGAAAAACGAAAACAAAAGATGAAGCAGGAGGGTGGAACTTTTCTCCCGTCTGCCTCCCCCTTTCTTGTGTCCGTTTGGGGGGCGCGTCAGTAGAAGGGACAAAAACGCGCCTTTGCTACAATTCGCCTCCTCTTTTTTTTAAAAGCGCGGTCTTTGCACTGTTTCGCTGGATGATACCTCAAAATGCGGGATTTAGTGCGAATGTATACATTTGCCATCTGCGGATACTGCCTGAGCACGCGGTAAAGGCATAGGAATATATTTTTTTGTCATCGGGGCACGCGGTACAGGTATAGGAATATTTTTTTCGTCATGCGTGAGAACATTTTTCTGAACTTCACTTACGTGGACGGGCATTTGTTCTACACCTTTCGCACTTGGAAAAGATGAACCTTCAAATTTCGATCAAATTCTTCCATGCGCAAGGT